TTTTTTTTGAATTTATCGTTGAAAATCAGATAGAGAAAAATGTATAGCATGTTTGGTACAGCTTAAAATTCAATTAAAATCAATTTTTTGAACATTATTTCACTATTTCAGCCTTCATTTTTGAATTCTTCTTTCACAATTAGGATCTACTTTATCTCTATCAATCAAAAAATCAATTAATAAAATCCTTACCAAACAAGCACGTATTTTAGAAATAATGGGATTAAAAAAAAATGCTAAACTAACTTATTTTCAATTGGGGTGGCTAGATGTTCCGGGTCCGCATACCATCCTTTTTTTTTATTTTTATTTTTTTTATACCCAGGTATTCCAGTTTCGCCGGACTAAATCCTGGATCCCTAGCCATCGGCTCCTCAGTGACAGCGGAGGTAAACTGCAGATTGTGCTCTTATTGGATCACAGATTCCCACCCGTGTTTGCTCTAGAATAATCTTATAATTTTACTTTTATTTGGAAAATAGGATAATCTTGATTTTGAATTATCTACCTCTGCACTAACTGCTTTACGTTTGACGATTGATGTACAAGTTAAAAATTTCTTTCTCGCCTGGCTTTGCTTTACTATATTTTTAATATTCAACTTTAACATATAGAAAATTCTTTTTTATTATACTATCTAAGCCAAATATTAATAAGAATACAATCAATACATGATAGACTAAGCATAGAACACATATGCGATACACTGACATATTGGTCAATCTTAAATGCATATTTATGCAATTTCACCTCCAATCATATTTTATTAAATTACGAGGATTGATATATTCATATGATATGTTTATGTAGCGGCCCAACATCATTTACTCCTAGTCTTTTGCATCTTGAATTATGGTAGTAGTAGCAAATCCTAAAATAAACACAACGAAGTAACAAGTATCATCTGTTAATTGCCATGAAAACCAATAGTAACAGATATGCTTGATACAGAGTATTAGATCACACATGGGACTTACGAGGAAATATTTTTGAAAAGCAAGTATCACTAGCCCGTTTTGTTTGTGTGATGAACAGTGCCCATCAATTGATTGTCTGAGACATTCCTGATGGTTACATAGCAATGGAAATTCAGAAAACTTCTCCAGTGAGAATAATGTGAAAAAGGATTCTATTAAAAGTCCAAGGGTCAGAAATTGTACATGATATGCCCACTGAATCAGCTCAATGACTCTCTGCTCCTGTCATTTTTAGCAGGAAAAGAAATTAGAAAAAAAATCAGGAATTTGTTGTATGGAATTTCGAGATAATTAGCTTACAAGAATCTTAATGATCGCAAGTTTTTCTGGGATTGATCCACTTAGTTGATTCTGATCTAGACCCAAAGCTCTTGGTATTTCTCCACTGATCTTATTGCGCTTGACATGCCTGTCAAAGAGCAAGACACCAATGTTCACCGATAGCATGTTTGGTGTACAATAATTGATAAAGATTCCCAACTTTCAGAATTTAATAGTATATCATTGCGGAGGAAAAAAAAAATCCCACACACACACACAAATATAATTAGCTTGCAAGTATTGAAGATTAGCTAAGATTCCAAGTTCAGGCAAGAGAGGTCCTTGTAGTCCCTCCTCGCCAATGTCCCTTCAATGAATGAAATCACATTTCGAACAATTATACATCAAATTATGGAGATTAAGAAAATTATTTGGAATTTGAGGTCGAGAGATGGATATATCTATATTTTCACTCTTGTAACACTATTGTCTGAATTGCAGGTGACATGATACCAGGTTCAGGGATTGAACAGTGTTGGATTCCAGCTTTGGAGGATCTGTCAGTTTAATCTTCCAGGCATTTAGAGCGTCCCCTACACAAGAAAAAGGATTTAAACTCGACTCATTAATACAGAATGTGCAATAGTTTAACATGTACTTGACAAACTGCAAATCTTTATGGCTACCTTCAGAGTTGTTTTCAGTAGTTGCAATGGCAATAGCAATTATGAGGAAAACGAGAATGGACCTCAATTGTATGGCTTATTCCACTTTTACAGAAAATGGAATCACAGAATTCCACTGGAAGTCTCATGTGTGGACCCCATGTGATGATAAAAAAATGCCAAAAATCCCTCCCACCCACCCCCTATGTGAATTATGTGTAGTAATTCTGTGAAATGCCTTTCTGTACACACGGCAAAACTCCAATTGTCTACTTTCAAAAGCTTTACGAGAAGTACGGTTCTGTACAATCTGGATGACAGCTGACCAGGACCGTTTCTAGAGATTCATATCTATCCTATTGCTCGTATATTTTATTAAAACAAGGAACCTGGAAATATTAGCCTAATACTCAGCTTCTAGCCAATATACCGACCAACAGAGATTCAGCCGGCAATGCATCGACTGGATTTTCTTTGTATAGGCATCATTTTCAGCTCATAATAATTATCATATTCTACGGAGAAAATGTCGAATTGCCCAGCCGAAATCGCCATTTGGAAGTTAGTTCCACTTCTAACACAGTACATTGTTCTTGCCATTGCCAAAATTTTCATCAGGCACAAACCTTCTATATCTTTCGTGTCTTTGAGTTTTGCTCCTTAAATTTTCATCTTTTACTGGTATTATTGGCATGACTTTCTTGCTCGTGTGTTCTACAACCCAAGCTTTGAATTGAATCGAAGCATAGAATATTTTCCGTCATAAGAAAACCGAGGTACTGATTTAACATCTTAATTTTAGGTAAATAAGTGCATTTATGAAACTATTAATAACTCAAGTGACTAAGAAATTAAGAAAATACTTTAATGACCAATTTGAAACTTTGCACAAACTTCAGTGGACATTAGTGGAATTAACTCAGCTACAAATAAATAGATGTGTAATGCTATCAAAACTCATTTACATTCAGATCATGAATGTTTGTAATCCAAATTATGTAATGAGACATTGCTTTTTCTAGAGAGACATTTTTACCGATCACAAGCAGTAAGAGTCAAGTCAACAAGTCTGTTCTACAGTTCTACTATAAAATCTACCATCGAGATAATATTTTTTATTGATATCGACCTATAATGTAGCTCGTGAACTCATGTCAATAAATAAAATTTGCATTAATATGTATACCAGAAATGAATATGTTTGGTATATGGTTGAAAAAAGAACTATATGCACATTATGTTTAAGTAAACTAAAAATTGAAAAACTGAAAATAGATACATAGTACCCACTCATCAAGCTCCTATCTTTGCACTTGAGGGCCAATTTTTATGGGCCCTCGCCCCCAGAGCCACATCCAAATGAGAAGATAAACTAAAATTTAATAGCAACCGTAGAACAAAACTAGCTTGGTTGATCAACAAGAAACTTAGCATCCCAATTTTTCTTAGACTGTACTGGGCAATTTGTCAGGGGTCAGCTGCTTATAGACAGAAACGAATCATTTTAGATAGTCCTTGTGGTTCTCGTGACAACTAGATCAATGCATCATTGCTTCAAGAGAAAGTTTTATTTTTAAATATTGAATTTTTTATTATTTAAATCAAGTATCTCCGTCAATTGTAGTGGCTCTATAATGAAAATAATGGAAATGCTATGTAGTGGAGCTTTACTAGCATTGTCGAGCTTTTTATTTTTAAACAATAAATTGTTTTAAAATACTTAAAACTATATATTAATTCATAAATTACAAACTTAATAAAAAAATGTATAAAATGACTATTGTGAGGGGTTTGGCTATTCATAACTACTAAATGTTGGACATTGCAATACGCGCACAACCAACTACTTGCAAAGATTTGAAATTGTTGAGTTTCCATTGGTCAATGATATATTTGATAAAGAATGATAGAATAGTACTAGACAATACAAAAAGAATATATTACTAAGACTTCCCCTTAGGTTCATGACGATAACATAGACACTCCCTCCATTTTCAAAATTTTTAGAAACCTTCCATCTTTGCATAAATTTCTTATTTTGTTTTTCTATCTCTATGCTACATATATGATTATATTTGATTTATTAATTGTTTTGCTTATCTTAAATTTAGACAAATATTTATTGTTTTAATTCAAATTTTTTATTTATTTTTATCTTTTCGTATATTGATTTTATTTTAATCACATTTTTGTGAGTATTGATCCTTCATTAAAACTGAAAAATTAAAATCCATATAAAATATATTTACCCCAAAAATGAACTAAAATGAAATCTAAGACTCTAAGCTTTGTATATTTATTTTGTGATAATCTTACTTTTGTTTTCATAGATCTCTGTTCCTTCCATTTGAAGAAAGGAAGGATCCCAAAAAATTGATCTTTCTTTTAATGTCTTATTCATTAATTACAAGGAAATAATATGTGTCATGTTTTTAATTTATTCTGTCTAGATAATAAAAAAGAGATAGTATTGATAATATAAAACAAAGTTATGTTAGGTCCACAGTCATCACGAGTAATACTATCTATCATCTCAGTTTAAATAGCACTAACATGACATTAAAAAAGAGGTATAAAAAAATGAATCACTAATTCTACTTTTTATTGAGTATATCACATAAGACTACCTGAACTAGTGTTATAACATTATTCGATTGTCACTCATGACATAATATTTTAGCTCAGACCTTTGATTATATTAATATTTTCCTGAAAACATATTAAATGTGTAAGATACTTAGTTTTTTAGGAAAACATATTTTATAATTTTCTTTGTTGATAAGAGGATACAACCGAATGGTGTTAGAGAAGATAATGTAATTTATTTATTTATTTATTTTTATTTTTTATTTTTTTTATTACGGATGAATGAATAAAGAATCAACTTGCTTAAATTGAACTCGATTAGATCACGAATCAGACAAATATTGCTTCATGAAATACTGCAAAACTTAAAAGCACGAAATATCATATTTATTCCATAATTACAAAATCCAATTTTTTTCAACAATTTCTTAGGAGCTTCTACCAGCTCATTACTTTCATTGAGTTTTATCAAACAAATGTAATCACATACAAGAACGAAGTAATCTAAATACGTCCATAGGTTCAGTGATCGAGTCATTAAATCATGCCGGTAAAGCAAAGCTCTCTTGTGTCCATTGTGAAGGATCCATCACCAGACAAGGATCAGACTTTTCAAAATCAGCAACCTAACATTGAGAGCAAAATCTATTAAGTTAATGTTCATTGTAGACACATGGAATATAACAAAATAAAGTGGAGAAATAAGTTTACCTTCTCATTGCAGCTTGGGCAATAATGATATTTGTGCCATAGGCAATCCATTGAAGGGCATAGAAAGCAGACTCCAAGCATCATTGGCATCATACAACCAACAAAAGCCGCTAAACCTGGTTTATGTCTGATGAAGAAGCAATGGGAATTAAGATAATATATACATCCCAA